CAGTGTTCTCATGGAGTGCTTTTGGCAAGCTTGCTGATAACTGTTCCTGTGGTTGGCATCTTTTGAAAGCTCTAGCTTGGTGCTGTCACCTGAAGTGGTAAGTGCACACCATCCACATGGGCTGTTGTATGGGATGACTGGAGGGGCCGGAGCCCCAAGGGATGGGGACCAGGCGAGAAAGGGAATCTGGAAAGTTCAGGGATAAGGTGTGAGCAGCCAGAGGGCCAGCCTTGCAGAGTGACGGTGGATGATGATGGCTGGCAAGGACCAGCCAATGGGCCAGGAGGAGGAGGAGTGAGAGGAGGCAGGAAAGCTGGACTTTTCAGCAGGTTCTCCTGCTGACAGCTAGAAACCTCTCTGCTTTCCAACCTCAACCCTGGCAACTTGGGTGTATGGAGCATTTTGCCCAACAACCAGGCGTGTCAGGTTGAGAACCTGAAAATCATGTTCCTGGAGAAAGAGGAAGAAGAGCAAGGAATCACTGACCTTTCCCTCACATGTTCTTACTCTGGCCCAGGCCCCACAGGAGTGGCAAGCGGTATTCAGCAATTGGGAGGGAGCTTCTACTCTTAGTGATGTGCTCAGGCTTTGCTGTGGAAAAGCTTGGGTTCTGGGCTCTGCCTCTCCGCCCTTCTTTGTTTGCCAACTCTGTGATGAGCAAAGGTTACCCAACAGGCCTGAGTTTCCTCATCTGTAAAAGGGAGATAAGAGTATTGCCAGAAGGCTGGATTGTACCCAGGGCCCAGCACATAGCAGATGGACAGAGAATGTCAGCTATGATTATAGCTGTAGTTATTTTGAGCCCTGTACTAACTTGATGCTTGGCTTGTACTCTTCTTGTCTTGGCTTCTGATCCTTACGTGGCTGCCTCTGCCCTACTACCCCATCCCTCCTCTCAGCTCCCTGGGCTCCAGCCACATGACCTCCAACACACCAAGTATTTTCCTGTCTCTATTGGGCTGAATGGGGGCCTCCCAAAAGATCCATCCATGTCTTGATCCCTGGACCTATGAATGTGACCTTATTTAGAAAAAGGGTTCCAGCATATATAATTACATTAATGATCTTGAGATGGGTCCTAAATCCAGTGACAAGTGTCCTTATAAGAGACATATGAGGAGAAGACAAAGCAGAAGGCCACATGAAGACATAGGCAGAGACGGGAGGAATCTGGCCACTAGCCATAGGATGCCTGGAACCATCAGAAGCTGGTAAAACTAAGGAAGGACCCTTCCCTAGAGCCTCTGAAGGGAGCTGGACCCTGCTGACACCTTGATTTTGGACTTCCAGCCTGTAGGAAAGTCAAAGACAAAGTATCTGTTGTTTTAAGGCACCTAGTTTGTGGTATTTGTTATGGCAGCCCCAGGAAACCAACTTACTGCCTAGGACCTTTGCAATGGTTGTGTCCTCTTCCTGGACTGCCCTTTTCCAGATGTCCATCTCAATCAAGTCTCTGCCCAAATGTCTCTCTTCTGAGAAATACCCTCTCTGACCACCCTTTCACCCTATCCACTGCTCCCCTGCTGTATTTTTCCTCCCTGCCTGTAGCACTCCTGTCACTAGAAAGTCAGCCTGCTCTGAGACAGCAGGCATTTTGTCTTGCTCACCACTGGGCCTCCACACCCAGCCCAGGGCCAGCCCAGAGCAGTGATGAAAAGATGAAGAGTCTTTTCATCTTTATCACGAGGAAGAAAACTGAGGCACATGGCATCTGACCAAAGAAAGCACTACTGGCACTGCTCCCAGGTCCCAACCCTCAGCTCTCTGGAGAGTGAACAGCTGACAACCTAGACGGGGGTCAAGGCTTTTGAAGTTCCCAAAGCAGGATTTCACAGCATTTCTCTTTTGCAAAATCCTTTTCATAAAATTAAATTGACTTTGATGTAATTTTATCTTTGGATCTGCTAACTGTAAGGAATCATCCCCAAATGGGCCAAGTTGGGAAAATGAGAGGGCCAGCTGGATTCCCTCTAGTCTGGGGGAAATCCAGGTGGCTGGAGTGGAAAGAGCTGTGGTGCTGAGGTTCCCTGAATCTGAGCAAGAATCTGTTGTTTACTAGTGGGGAGGCCTCCAACAGCTCCTCTCCACCTCTGAGCCTCAGTTTCCTCACTTATAAACAGAGGTCAGGATAGTATCTACTTCAGCCATGAGAACATGCAAGTGAATATGCAGAGTGCTCACATGTGGGGAGGGAGCTCAAGCAAGGTTGACCTTCTTCTCTTGCTGGCACATGGCTTCCCAGCCACTGAGGTTTTAGGAATAAAGAGGTGAGGTCCACGGGTAGACAGCAAGGTGTCAGCATGGCTGGGCTCCTTCCAGAAACTCTAGGGGAGGATCCTTCCTCATGTCTTCTAGCTTCTGGTGGCCCCAGACATTCCTTGGCTTGTGAACCCATCCCTTAAAGCTCTGCTTCCATCTTCACATAGCCTTTTTTCCCCTGTCCTCTCTTATAAGGACACCAGTCATATTGGATGAAAGGACTGGCCTACTCCAGAGTGTCCTCATCTTAACTATTTATATTTGCAAAGATCCTATTTCCAAGATCTTGAGATAAAGTCAAAGGGTACTGGGGGTTAGAACTTCAACATATCTTTTGGGGGGCAGGTGCAAAATTCAACCCATAACACCACCCAATACCCATTCCAACCATCTTTTGGGATAAGACTCCAATTTTGTTTAGTTCATCAGTGCGCTTAGCCTCAGGTGACAGGTCATGACAATCTTGTGCCCTGCTTTCCCAGCCTTTCTTCCAACTAAGGATACCATGTTATCCAGTTGTGGCTGAGACCTAAGTAGCAGCCTGCTTGGCAAACTTCTGGGATTTTGTTGCTTTCTTGATAAAAGGGGACAGACGCAGTTGGCCTTGCCCTTTGCTTCTTTTGTCCTTGGATATATATGTGATTGCTGGAGCTTTGGCAGCTATTTTGTGACAAAGAGACAAAGCTAAGCTAATTAGAGAGATGTCAGTGCTCTGCTGCTGAACCAGTGCCAGCAAACTACCTTCAGATTCCTTATGTGAAAAAATTAAATATCTAATTATTTAATCCACCATAGTCAGATTTCCTACTACTTGTGGCCACTTTCCTAACTAATACTCTATGCTTGTTGGTTCCTCCATCCTACCCCCATAATCTGAGGAGATAACTAAGGTGTCTTCCACCCAAGTGCACAAGCACTGTGAAGCTACCCTCCTTATCCTCAACCTTGCTTTCCTCTTTCCTCCTTTGTCTTTCTCTCCCCATCCCTTCTCTGCCTACCTGGCTCACTCTCCCTCTACCTCCTTTCACTTTGTTCCCACTTAACTAGCCAGAATATGGAAGGAAACTATATTATATATTATGTGAAGAATATTCTGGAAAAATACAAAAGTTTAATTTGATTTATACTTCCTTATTTCAATTTGATTTTGTTTTTCTGTTAGAAATCTTTGCTCAAAAGAAGTTTTAAAAAATCTTGGAACAATGATAAGTCTTCAGACCAATAAACATGGGATACACAGCTCTGTTTTATATCATGTTCAAGGCCATTATCAAAGCTAAACAAAGGCATCATAGCAACAAATACATGCTCCTGATTGTGAATGTATGCAAGACATATGCCTTAGTTACCCTCACATCCCAGCACACAGTTAAATGTGTAGTAAATCTCTGGGGAACAGGACTACAGGAAAACTAGGGATGATTGAAGCAATAGCATCAAAATCAATAACTGCATAAAGGGATAAATCTGATAACACAAGTGCAAGATCTGGACTCTGAAACCACAAGCCATTATGGAGATGAATTAGAAAAGGTCCCTGAATGAAGACAGAAGCTATGTTCACAAACTGAAAGGCTCAGTACTGTTCAGATCTTGGTCCTCCCCAAAACAATGTATAGGTTTACAGCAATCCCAGTCCAAATCTCAGCAGGCCTTTTTCCTCCATAGAAATGACAAGGTATTCTAAAACTCATGTGGAAATGTGACAAACTTTGGATAGACAAAGCAATTTTGAAAAAGAACCACATTGGAACACCTAAATTACCTGATTTCAAGATTTATTACAAGCCAAATGAAATAAGAGAGTGTAACATTGGCAAGAAGATAGAAAAACAAACTGAAGGAGCACCATTAAAGAGTTCAGAAGTGTACTCATACATAGCCAATTGATTTTCAACAAAGGTGCCAAGGCAGTTCAATTGGGGAAAAGATCACCTTTTCAACAGACAGTGCTGTAAGAAGTAGATATTCATATAGAAAGAAATGAATTGGGAATTCACCTCACACCATACACAAGAATGAACTTAAAATTGATCATAGGCTTAAATGTAAGAGCTAAAACTATACAACTTCTATAAACAGAGGATCAAATCTTAAGGATTTCAGTTTTGCAAATATTTCTTGACTATGTCACAAGAAGCATAAACTATAAAATTTAAAAACTCATAAACTGGACTTCATCAAGGTAAAACAACTTAAAAAAAAAAACATTGTCATGAAAGTAGAAAGGCAAGCCATAGTCTGAAAAAAATCTTCGCTGAACACATATTTGACAAAGTCTTGTATCTAGAACTCTTGCAAGTTAACAATAAGACAAACAACCCAAATGAAAAATGGGCAAAAGATTTGAACATACACTTCACCAAAGAAAATATATGAATGGCAACAAGGACATAAAAAGGTACTCAACATCACTCATCATTAGGGAAATGCAAATCAAAACCACAATGAGATTACACTTCACACCCACTAGGATGGCTAGAATCAAACAGATGGACAATAAAAAGTGCTGGGGAGGATGTGGAGAAGTTCCAGTCCTCACTCACTGCTGGTGGGAATGTGAAATGGTGCAAGTGCTTTGGAATACAGTTTTGCAGTTCCTCAAAAAGTTAAACAGGATTACCATATGATTCAACAATTTCACTCCCAGGTGTATGTATACCTAAGAGAACGGAAAACATATGTCCACACAGACACTGGTATACAATTGTTTATAGTAACTTTATTAGCCATGGCCCAAACCCAAAAACAACCAAAACACTGTGGTCCATGCATACAATGGAATAATAGTCAGCAATAAAATTTTAGGATTGATACACATACAACAACCTGAATGAACTTCAAAACCATTACGCTGAGTGAAAGAGGCCAGACAAGAAAGAGTGCATACAGCAGGATTCCATTTACATAGAATTGTAGAAAATGCAAACTAATGACCAGTGACAGAAAGCAGAGCAGAATGGTGGAGGGCAGGGAGGGACAAAAAGGAGGGAGCAATGGGAAGACCAAGTAACTTTTGGGGGTGACAGATGTATATGTTCACTGTTTTCATTGTGGTGATGTTTTCACGAATGTCCACATCAAAACTCATCCAAGTGTATGTTTTAAAGATGTGCAGTTCCTTGTATGCCAATTATACCTCTATAAAGCTGTCAAAAAAATTCAGAATCAGCAATCTCCAAACCCTGGAGGGCTGCTATGTTTTGAGGTCATAGACACATCGGTGCTAGCATAACAGGAAACCAGTTATAAATACTATGGCAAGTGGGGACTCCCAAGAATGTCAGTTGAGGCTACTTGTGTCAAAGCATCATTGATAGTGGACTGTTGCTATCCATATGCATGTGTTGACACCGAGTGGGCATCCAAGCCATCTAGATATACAATGTGTATACTAGGTGGTTGTTAATGTGTAAATTCACACACTCTAGCAATTATGTTTTACATTAACTTCCCTGGCTCGATCTTAGAATACTTCTGTGATGCTTTTAAAAGTTGCCTCCCACCCTGGCTGGTGTGGATCAGTGGATTGAGTGCCAGCCTGCAATCCAAAGGGTCACTGGTTCAATTCCCAGTCAGGGCACATGCCTGGGTTGTGGGCCAGGTCTCCAGTGGGGGGCATGTGAGAGGCAACCACACATTGATATTTCTCTCCTTCTTTTTCTCCCATCATTCCCCTCTGTCTAAAAATAAACAAAATCTTAAAAAAATAAAAACAATAAAGAGTAAAAATTGCTTCTCATCAGGAACTAGCTAGAGTCTAAAATTCTTCCTCTGTCATCCCAGGCTCTAGGCACTCTGGTTCTAATGACCTTTCACCTCCAACTGTCCTACAGCAAGCCCTCTGCCCTTGTAGGGTTCCCTAACACACCATGTGCCCTCCCTTCCTCTCTCCACCCCACTGCTGGAAGTCCCTTAACCTCTACTTCCTGTCTTGAGAGCTCACCTGGTACTTATTCCTACCTAGCCTCGAGACACAACTTGTCATGCTTTAATACCTAAAAAGGTGTACACTTAGCACCCCCAGCTGAAAGTCTGCTGTGTCCCCTTGGCTGAGTAAAGGAGTAAAGATTTGGGGTCCTGGCTTGTCCTAGATGCTTCATTGGAGTCAGCTCTGAAACCAGCATCCTGCTGTACCCATGCTGCCATAATGCCAGTGAGAACACATTCAGGAGTGAGAGTAAACCATTCAGTAAACATTTGGGACCTAAGGATGCTGAGTGGCAATGGCAATGAAACCTCCAAGAGCCCCTTTCTCAGGCCTGCTTTCTCCTCCCTTGGAAACAAGTCTGGGATTCCAGCCACTTGCTCTCAGGGAGAACAACTTTTGTTTATTTCTTTGTTGAAGTCACCTGGCAGCTTTGCCAAGCAGAGAAACTCTTGTAGGCACTCTAATGTCCTAGTACACCAGCCATGATTGGAAAGAGCTAAGCGCCCAGACCTATTTAGGGCCCCAAATATGGATGTTGCCATTAGCCCAGCACAAGGCCACATGAGGGGCCACATGAGGGGGCAGATGGGGCTGGGCCAACCATAATTGCCATTGGACAGTATCTGGTGGCTCAATGACCATTGGACATAAAGGGCAGAGGGAAGGGCCAAGGACCCCAAGAATTGCTGGGGGAACAGGAAGGTAGAAAGAGACTGAGGCACCACCAGCAGGCAAGGTCAGGGAGAGGGGCTTCTGGGCCTACAGGACAGAAGAGTGTCCATGCTGGAGTCCCTCTGCAGAGAGGTCAAGAAGCAAACAATGGGAGATTGAAGATGGAGCTACCCTCTCTACAGGGCTACACGAGGCCAGACAGTGTACCCACAGTGACGAGTGTGGACACTTCCATGTTGTCTGAAGAATGGTAACAGAATTGTGTTTCTCAGGGGACTGATGTGGTGCTTGACCCTTCCTGGTCTCAGAGTCATGGTGTCTGACCAGCTTCAGGTGGCTGCCCCTGATCCCTACACAGCTGGCTCTCAAGGGTTTCTGCTTTATTTATGCAGGGGGCTGAAAGATGTCCAAACACAGCAGCTTTAGCTTTCCCCCATAATTCCATGCTTATTGTCTTTCCTGACACCTCTAACCCAGCTGGTATCTGGTTACTTTAAACCATCTGATAGCTACCAGTTACTGGTACATGGAGATACTGCCATAGTATTTAAATAGCTCTTGAAAAGCACCCAAAGTTTCAAAGGTCAAACAGCCCACAGACTCAGATGTGCCATGAGCTGACCCAATGTCTTGTTATTGTAAATGTCACTTATCTCGGTAAGCATCAGGGCACTCTAAAACCAGACTGAAAGTGCATAGCATCTCTCCAGGAAAATCTACTTTTTACTTAAACTACCTGTACATTACTCCCTCCCCCGACCTAGTCATCTTTGCCTGTGGGTTCCAACGTGAAAAAAGGAGTTCACACTAATAATTAAGTTAGCTTAAAAAATAAATAAAAGTTTCTAAAATCTAAAAAAAAAATCAAGTTAGCTCATCCAGTAATGACCAATGAGGAGATCCAAGCCTTCTTTATTAAAATCTGGTAACTGACTGGCCTGTTAAGAGCAAAATTGTTCACTATTTCCAATTCCCATCATGTGGCAGCTGCTGCCCCAGTCTTGGTCAGGGCATGGTTGAACAAGACTGGAATCCAAGCACAAGGCCTCCTGCCACTGTGCCCTGCCCTGCATGGGGATTGGTTTCCTGAATCCATGCCAAATGCAGCAAAGATTGTCTGTGCCTTGGAAAACACACATTTCCCAATGACCTCTCCATGGACTTCAGACACTGCTCCCAATACTTCTTTTTCTACTAGAAAACCTGAAGCTGCAGGGACTTTCAACTGCCTCAAGGTAAGGCCGGTGCTGACTACAGTCTAAAACCTGAGTTCAATGTGCTAAGGGGGCAATATTCATTTCACAAGCATTTACTAATTACCAAGCACTGGGCTTGGCAACTAGGGCACAAACATGAATATGACACAGAGCAGAAGGCAATCAAAGGATGAGGTGGTATGGGCTCAGTGAAGGAAGCTGTGAGATAAGAGCAAATTACAAGAACTTCCCATAAGTCAGAGGTATGGAAAATCCTTTCAATATATCTAGATAAAACACCTATATTTACACTTACACTTATATTTCTCACTTCTGGAGTTGTCTTAGCAATTGGAGCTCCAAGCAGCATGTTCAGAAGGAATCCTGTACTTTCAGGTCTTCCCACCTTCTTCTGATGGGTCTTTGACCCTTCCTGTCTTGCAGAGAAGGTAAGCTTGCTCCTTGGAGGCCCAGTGGGTGGCCTGCAGAACATCTATCATCTGTCTGTCCTCAGGTGCTCTGTATGACAGACCAGAGCCCCTGGGAGTGAAGAGGGCTGGAAGGAGGTGGCAAGCCAACCAGAATGCTAGGTTGAGAGTACTAAGGGGCATAACTCCTGGGTCCAGCTCTAGGGACAGCACAGATGGAACAGGACAGAGCCTGCCAGCAGCTGCCTCTTGGCCGGTGTGAGCTTTCTCCTTGAGAACCTCCCTTAGCCTGCAGTAAAGTGCTATTTGAAGGGTCTGCTCTGTTTCCACAGGGCTAAGGGGGAGGAGTGAGAATAGTAACAAGGCTTACCACCACACTAATCATGTGTCAGGCCTCAGGAGGTGAGGTCCTTTTCTGTTGTCTGAGTACTTCTCAAAGGGTTGGCAGGGGTTGGGGGGGGATCTTATTTCAGGAGCAATTCCCTGACACTCTCATATGGCAAAAATCCCAATCTTCAACTTACATTATCCCATACTTACATATAACATATCCCAACTTACATATAACATTCAAAGCAACTGAACCTCCAATATTTTAAGAAATGTCATGTGAAGACAGATCCAATGAGAGAACCACAATTGGGCACCCTCTGTGCAAATTCTTAACCCGTCTTGCTTGCTTCCTGATGGGCACAAGCCACAAAGGGTGGCTGCTTGGGTGGGGGTGGGGAGCAGCTAAGTTTGAAGCTTTAGGCACTGAGGGTGGGGAGGAAGGACAGAGAAGCCAGGGTGGCCTTTGCTGGTGGGGTGGGAGGGACAGAATGTAGCAGGTGGGGCAAGCCTGAGGGTCTGGTGGGCAGGGAGGAGACCAAAGGCAGCAGGGCAGCTGGTGGCAGATGTTGCCATGCTGCAGTGGTCTTGCCTGGAGCCTGCTACTTTAAGGGACCAGAGCAAAAGGGCTTCTCTTCAGGGAGGAGATGCTGAGGCCCTGGGCCTCATCTTCTATGCAGGCCCCTGGCCAACCATTCCCCATACACCCCCTCCCAAGCTCTGAGCTCTAAGAAGATGGGGCCTTGGGTGCTGTTCCTCTGAGAAGCAGCAACTGGGGACACACATAGAAGGCTGTAGTTTTCAGGCACAAAGACAAATGGCCAGGAAAAAGAACGGATCACTGCTCAACATGATAGCAGGGTGTTCTGTGCCTTCTCATAGAGCAGAGGTTGACAATGCAGGCACAAGCAGTCCACAAGAGCATTTGCCCAAGCCCATTTTCAGACCATTTCTTGATGAAATTTGGGGATGTCACAGTCAGGCCACAGCCTACTTGTAGAGCTCACAATTTTGAATTTCCTCAAGTTCCTTCCACTTATAAGCTCTTAAAGCATTAAAGTGCTTTTAGTATCTTCAACCTGGAAATGCTAACAAGTTTTGGGGTGAAGTGAATGACCTCATGAGAGAAAATAGACCATCTCTCCTTAACTCAAGGTACTTGTGCCCTTGGGGTGGCTCTACTCACAGGTTTCCTCCTGCTCATAAGCACAAAGTCCTGATGGGCATTCAGGAGCTCTTGCAGCAGCTCACACATTGGCTCTACATGTATGCATACCTGTGCACATACATGGAAGCCTGTAATTAGCCCATGGCAGAGGCTACAGTGAAGTCCCTGCATCAACTGCATCATCAATGACAGAATGGAGGGGAGCAGGGCGCTCAGATTCCCCATGGACAACCTTGTCAGATGGCACTGTGGGCAGCTGTGAATTCAGAATCTATTCCCTGCTTCTCATCTGCAGGGTGGGGCTCTTCAATGGGACTTTTGAGGGCCAAAGAGGCTGGCACTTTTTCACAGTCGCTGTCCTCCAAATTCTTCCTTCCATGGCGAATTTTCTGATACTGACGGAGCTGCAATTTCATCTTAAGGGTCTTGCCACACTTGCCACATTTGCCACATGTGCAGGGCCTCTCACCACTCTTGCTACAGGTCTTCTCACACTCGTGCACCCTCCGGTGCTCCAGGAGGAGTGAGCTGCTCCGGAATACCTTCCCGCAGTCTTGACACTCATAGGGCCTCTCATCGCTGTGAACTGCCTGGTGCTTGAAGAGGTTGGATCTTCTGCTGAACGTCTTCCCACACTCGCTGCACTCATAGGGTTTCTCACCACTGTGCACCCGGCGGTGCTGACTGAGGCCTGAGCGCCCCCGGAAGGCCTTCCCGCACTCCTTGCACTCAAATGGCTTCTCCCTGCTGTGGATGCGCTGGTGGTGAATGAGTTGAGAGACACCCTTGAAGGCTTTTGGACACTGGCTACATGTGTAGGGCTTCTCGCCACTGTGGGTACGCTGGTGCTCAATGAGGTTGGAGCTCCTGCTGAAGGCCTTCCCGCACTCACTGCACTCATAGGGCCGTTCGCCACTGTGGATGCGCTGATGTTCCAGCAGGGCAAAGCTGCGCCGGAAGAGTTTCCCACACTCTGGGCACTTGTAGGGCTTCTCACCACTGTGGATAATTTGGTGCTTGATAAGGTTGGAGCTGCGTGTGAAGGTCTTCCCGCACTCATCGCACACATAGGGCTTCTCTCCACTGTGGATACGCTGGTGCTCCAGCAGGGCAAAGCTGCGCCGGAAGAGTTTCCCACACTCAGAACACTCATAGGGCTTCTCAGAACTGTGGATTATGCGGTGCTTGATGAGGTTGGAGCTCCGGCTGAAAGATTTCCCACACTGCTGGCACAGGTACCGCTTCTCTGTACCTTTGGAACACTGTTGCCTTGAGACCAAATTCTGCCTAATGCTGTGGGTACTTCTCTGCACCATCTCTCTTTCCTTACTCAAGGAGCTGCCTTGGTCTTTCTCCCTGTGACGGTCACCCCTGCTGGAACCTGTCTCTGGAGAATGAACATGTTTTTGTCTCTGCTCAAGTGTTTCCTCTGGCAGCCTGGCTACCTGGCTCTTGCTGCCACCCTGAAGATTGGCTCTTGCAAATTCTTTTGGACAACATTTCTCCTTGGAACTTAATGTCTGGCTCTTGATCCTTTCACCTGTAAAGACCGAGAGCACCAACCAATGTTGCTCCCTCCTTGGATCTCTATTTAGGGTTTGTTCTCCACCCTCACCCTCATGCCAAGGCTGAGAAAAGATGAACCAGGAGATGATTGTGGGCAGGCAGACAGGAGAGCAAGAAGGGAAGAGGTGATCTGAGACAGCAGGAGGTGCTCCCTTCATCTGGTGCCTCCATGAGGAGAAGTCATTGGGCCATTTAAATCAGCCACAAAAGAGAATTTTCCACCCAAAGTGGCTGCACCTTCCTCTATTGTCTGCTGCCTTTGCAAATGCTAAGCATCTTGTACTCACCTGCCTGTATCCCTGTGGCAGCCCTTGTCCTGTTGATGTCAGCTGCCCAGGGCCCTTCCCCTCGTTCCAACAGGGAGACCAGGTGAGGCTTGGAGGATGAGAGCCCTGTCCATGGAAATGAAATGGATCAGTCATTCCTGAACTCAGCCCAGCCTCAGTATCTTCAGGAACACAGAACAAAGAACTCTCCCAAAAGTGCCACTGGGTGGGTCCAGAGAAAGGGCAGAGTCCCTCTAAGGATGCAAAAGGCTCTAAGTATATCGAAGCCAGGCAGGCACAGGGGATCTTAACTAATTGGTGATTTGGGCCAAGAGGGTAAAGATGTTATTGGCCTGTAGGAAAGGTAGCAGGCTTGTAGGAAGCTCTATATGTATGGACACCCTGAGGCACAGATGAAGAGCTACAGCAGGGATTCACAGGCCCTAGGGAGTATCAGGAAGCAAACAGAGTAGAAGGGCTGCCTGCACCCTGAAAGCTAAAGCCCCTTAGTTCACCACCATACAGAGTAGATGTCTCAGTTCCTTATGCCAGACTCAGGTGAGGATTCTTGAACTTTCCTGGGAACCCCAGATCTTCTTGGTGAGGGTCAGAAAGAACCCATTGAAGAAGATAGTTTCCCTCTGTGGGGGTAAATCACAGAGGTGAAATCTGTTGAATCTAAAAAAATAAACTGAGAAAAGAATGCACTTTAATTCCAAAGGCAGTGGGGTACAGCAGGGGAGCCTACCCTGGCTCCTACCCTGGCTTCTGCATGCCTTGTCCCAGGCCCTCTGTGGCTCAAAGCTGCTAAACTCTCTAACATGAAACAAATGAGGAATGCAACTTGGTAAAAATGAATTAAGTCTCAAATAGTGTATAGGGTAGTTTGCACCTATCTTTTGGGTAGAAGAGGTTTAGTTAAACTATTAATTTATATGCAAAATAAGTTTGATGGGGGGTACATATTTACCTAAAACATTTACAGGTCCAAACTATTGAATAAAAACTGCCCTGTTGAGACAAAGGCTGAGCTGCAAAGAATTATGGATCCAGTGGGAAAATACATTTATTCTTGGCCTCACAGCAACAACAAGCAAAGAAACTCAGAAATAAACTGAGTTCAGAGACAGAGTAGGGGGCACTGGGTGTATGTGGGGTCCTTACCCAGTGACACCAAATGGCGGTAGTTCTCCAGCATTACTCTCTTGTAGAGGATCCTTTGTTTGATATCCAGAAGCTTCCATTCTGTCTTGGTGAAGTACACGGACACATCCTCAAAAGACACTGGCACCTAAAATGAGCCATTCCTGAGGCTGCAGGAAAATTCACCCTCATGGGTCCCAGAATGAGGTGCCAGCAACTGAAGATGGGGCAAGGGGGCTACTGAAGAACTCAGCAGCTGGGGGTAGGCTCAGTTTCAAGAGTTGTGAGGCTGGGACATGAGGAGGTGGCAGATGAAGACTGTAAAGGAGAGATGCTGAGGCAAAGGACTGCTACAGTTGGGGAACCCCACTCACCTTGGGTCTGGTCATCAGGAGAATGGCTGCCATGGCAGGAGCACCGAGAAGCTAAGGGAAGTGGAAAGAGCCAGGTGTGAGATGAGGCCCACACACTCCAGTACAGCCTCAACCAAATTAGGTCCTATTCACAGCTACTGGAGACACAATTCAATGTACAACACTTTCCCAAACTGAGCTTGTATCCCCTCTCTTTACCCATGTAGCAGACCACTAAACACAGACTTAATCCCTTCTCATGCTAGGCTCAGCTAACCAGGCTTTCAAGGGAGTGTGTTTCTTCTTTCCTTTCTTTTTCTCATTTCCTTCTTTTCTTGGCCCTCTTCTCATGTGAGCAGTATCCCTGACCCCAACATTTCAGCCATCCCTGGGAGCTCCACTGCCAACCTCTTTTCCTCTCAGGTCAGGTTTCTTACAGAAAAACTCCAAACATACCACCTCTACATGCAAATACACTTTCTTTCAAGGGAAAGAGAAAGATCAGGCTGGTGAACTGCACAATGAAGGGATAATAGCTGGTGGAGGGGTGCTCTCTGAAGAGGTAACATTCAGGCTAAGAGCTGAAGGTTGTTAAGTAAGGAGAGGTTCAGGCCAAGGGCACAGCCCATATCCAGCACTTAGATAGCCTGAGTGCAGATAGCCTATAGTTTGTGGTGTTGAAAACTGGTGGGGGTGGGGTGTGGGTGGGTGTTGCAGAAGGTTGCAACTAATCGTTCTACTTGTCTGTTGCAGAAGGTGAGACCATGTGGGCCCTTTGGGGACAAGAAGGAGCCAGGGCTCACACTAAGGGCAGGAAGAGTGTGTCACTGACAAAGTGGACATTATCTGATTTCTCCACATCAGTTCTTAATGCCAGAATACAGTGGGGAAGAAGAAAGTTTGCTCTAAGCATATAATTTTCACCCAACTGGAGACCAAAAGGTGGAAGTCCTAGGCAGAGCAGCAGAGGAACAAGGCTGTGGATGGTGGGCACATGGGCCCAGACTATTTCTTATGCTCCTCTGGGTGAGCACAACTTGTTTGTACAACAGGAGAGTGGGCAATGGGACAGAGTCCCAAAAGCATTTAAATTGCCCCTAAATCCCTTATCCTCTGTGATGAGCTGTCAGTCAACACTGGCCCAGAATAAATAAATTCATGTATCTGATGAAGAAGTTTATATTAATCAGAGAGAAAGAATCCCTTAAGGTTGAGTGGCTAAAACCATTAGATGAAAGAATGAGGAAGAACAACATCCATTTGATATCAAAATGTCTTCCCGGGCTACTACTGGTCACAAGAGAAAGCTAAACTAACAGTGGTGGCACAGAGGTGGGACATACCTTTGGGGAGTGCTCAGGTGGCCCAGGAGGGCTCTTGTCAAAGCCTGACCTGATTGTAATGCAGCCTTGGGACCTAACTTGCAGTTTACAGGGCATCTCTGGGACAGATAAAGACATCACAAGGAAGCAATCAGCCCAACCCAGAAGATGAGCTGTTCCTTGGTCTCCTTTGCAAATTAGTTTCATGGGAGAAAGAGAAGGCTACAGAGGAAGACCATTATAGATGAAAAGAGATCTAAGGAGCCAGCAGCCAAGTGCAGCAGAGTCTTTGATGAGATCCTGGCATGAACAAAAGAGGAGTGGAAAGCATTGGGGAATATGGAGGGTCAACTGTGGAGCAACTCTCAGAGGACAGTGGGGACCACTGCTGCTCATGTGTTGGATCAGTAATGGCACTGAGCCATGGAAGAAAATGTCCTTGTAAAGATATGCACATTGAGGCATTTGGAGGGAAAAATGGCCTTCAGACTTACTTTAAAATATTTGGCAAAAACAAAGGGGCAAGGCAGATAGAGAGACAGAGAGGCAAACAAGCAAATAAAGTGAGCTAGAGACCACTGCCAGCCCTGAGAGGTGGGTACCTGGGCTTCATTAGACTAGTCTCTCTACTTGTCTGTTTGCTTGATGGGGTTCAACATTAAAGGGGAAAGTAACTTGATGGTTCCTCAACAAGTAAACATAGTTATCATATGGCCCAGGAATTCCACTCCTGGATATATGCTCAAAAGAACTGGAAATAGGTGTTCAAGAAAACAAACAAACACTTGTATATGAATGTTCCTAGTAGCATGATTCACCAGAGCAAACAGGTGGAAACAACCCAATATCCATTGACTGATGAATGGATAAACAAAATGTGGTCCATACACACAATGAAATATTATTTGGCCATAAAGAAGAATGAAATATTAATACATGTAACAATGTAGATGAACCTTGGAGACATTATGCTCTGTGAAACCCACCTTCCACACACAAAAGGCCACAGATGGCATTATTCCATTTATATGATGTAATATAATATTTCACAAGTGCTGTCTTGACCTAGTTTGGAAGTTATGACTAAAAACCTTTTCTCTGCCCTTCTTGGGCAGTTTGCTAAACTCCCACCCCAACTACCTCCCTCATCAGGGGTCTTCTCTCTGGGGCCACTAAACATGCCCCCAGTCCCCTTATTGGGCTCCCACACTTAGGGGTCAGGGGCAGTTCCAGACAACTAGGGACAGTCCCTATGCCCAGAGGGACCTCATGAAAACTAGTATGCTACTTCAGGTGCACCCCCCTCCTGTGGAAGACGCTTGTCCTTTGGAGATGTAAGAAAGAAAGAATTCTGCCTTTCATCTCTCTGAGTATCAGTATCCTGTGACATGCCATCAAAAAAATCTTATCTTGCCCTGACCAGTGTGGTTCAGTTGGTCAGACGTCATCCTGCAAAGCAAAAGGTCACTGGTTCAATTCCTGGTCAGGGCACATGCCTGGGCTTCAGGTTTGGTCCACGGTCAGGGTGTGTACAAGAGGCAACCAATTGATGTTTGTCTCTCACATAGATGTTTCTCTCCCTCTCCCTCCCTTCTCCTCTCTCTTAAAAAATCCTATTTTATAAAACATATGACATGTCCAGAATAGGAAAATCCAGAGAGTCAGAGAGCAGATTGGTGGGTGCCAGGGGCAGCGAGGTACGCAATGCATGTGTGACTGCTTCATAGCTTTCAGGTTTCCTCCATGGATGATGAGAATGTTCTGGAACTAGATAGTGGTGATGGTTGCACAATATTCTGAATGTACTTAATGCCACTGAACTGTTCATTTTAAAATGGTTAATCTCCACCTCAACAAAAAACGGGGGTGGCAAGATGTGTCACTGTCGAGTAATCATTCTGATGTCCACACATCACATGCTTCACTCTGACACACCGTCAGTCACTGGGGGACCTGACAAGCTAAAGGGGCAGGGCAGAGACCAGTGATATTAGCCAGGGTGTTCAGACAAGCATCACATTGTTTTGAAAAACAGCACAAGCTTCTTTTTTCCCTTCCACAGCTGTACTGCCAGGTCATGATCCAGCTTGGAAAACAGAAAAGTCTAAAGGAAGAGGCAAACTCCAAGACATACTAGGGTCCAAGCCCTGAGTAGAGAAGCAGCTGCTGAGCTGTGACTACATGAGAGAAACAGCATGGGCAGGCTCACCTGTAGATGGAGACCAACACTTAAGTTCAGCACCACAAGGCGCATTGCGGGTGCCAGCCATGATGTGTGCTCGCCACAACAATGTCTATGCTTGAGACCTAGCCCCCCAAAGTCAGCATACTTTCAAATCCCAGCAAAAAAGACATGATAAGCCCTGTCCTCACAGACTATAAACTGCAAGTAACCCCCAGGTGGTAATGGGGTGACACTTCCTAGCATATACATAAGGACAATCTAGAGAGAGCCTGTGGAGCCGGAGGTAGCTTCTCCTAAGAGACTGTGCCCTTGGGCCCCAGAGTGGAGGAGAAACTGAAGGATAATCCTAGGCCCCAAAGCTCAGTTTTCTCTGAAACCAGGCACTGGACATGCAGGTGAGGGTCCATTAGACAACAGTGCCCCAGGCCAGAAGCTGGTAAGGCCCTGCCAGCCTCCTCCTGGGCTGGTTCGCCCCCAGGAAGGAGGCAGACACCCACCCCTTCACTGAACCTGGCAGAGGGAAAGCTGAGAATGAGGAGCCACTTGCCAGCACCCTGGGGGCGGAGAGGAGAGGAGGGGTTATAGCAGTACTGTCAACTGAAGTCACCCTAAGGCAGGAGAGGGGGCCAGGGGGCTGATGCTTCCCAAAGACCACGAGATGGGGCTATTTCCCCAGAAAAAGAAAATAGAAAACAAACAAACAACCGGAAAAGCAGTCAGTAGTCCCACTCATGCTGGATCAGGAACTGGGGCTTTTTCATCCACAAGGAAGGACACCCATGACCACTGTGCCTGGTCTTCTTTCTTTTGGGTGGAACCTCCTCTGGGGTCTAGTGATTCAAAACCCCAGCTGCCTTCTGTTGGTGCCAGCAGCCTTCCTTCCCTGAAACGCATATCACCTGCCACCCACCTGGTGGAAAGCCTGGAGGACCTAGGGCCTGGGGAAGCCAGCCTCAGCCCAGAGCCAAGGTCTGGCCTGAGCGCTGCCACAGGTCAGCCCAGGGCCCTCTCCGTGTGGCCTGGCAGAACAAAGCCCTCTGAGGAGCAATCCTGCAACTGGTATCTCCAGTCCCTGTCCTCAGGGGATAGAGGCTGACCTGGAAATAAAGAGAGCCACCTCCTAGTGGAGTTCTATCCTTCCCTGCTTAGAGCCCTCCCTGAAGTGCCTATCTCACTCAAAGTAAACTCACATGGCCCTTTCTTACCTCTTCTGCCCCTCCTCCAACACCCTTGCTCTCTCTGCACCAGCCACACTGGTCTCTGAACTCTACCTCCTGCACACCAGGCCATTCCCGCCTCAGGGCCTTTGAACTCTCTGTTCCCTTGGTCTACTAGACTCTCTCACCTCCTTCAAGTTTTTCAGAAATGTCGCCTTCTAACCACACTACTTAACCTAGCAATCCCACACCCCACCTCCCTTACCCTGCTCTATTTTTCCAGTGACACTTCCCACTGTTTAACATGCTTTATAATTCTTTAAAAACATTTACTGTTTATTGTCTGTGCCCTGTCACTAGAACTGGACTTACCGAGCAGGGAGTTAAGCAGATTCGCTTCTTGATATATCCTGAATGTCTGCAGCAGCCTGGCCCCGCAGTGGGAGCTCAGCGTGCATTTGTGAGAACTGGTCCTGCAGGGCAGCCCCACACAATTCCCGCACAGTCCCCTTACAGCTCAGTGCAGTCCCTCTCTTGCTCTTGAGGGCCTTCCATCCTGCCCTCAGCTTTGTCTTCTTAAACCTTCCCATGCGTTCTCCTCAAGTTGCTCGTCACAGTCAGTACACCATCACCAAAGGGCACAATCCCCACCCCCAAACCCTGTGTCTGCCGAGGGTTTGCCGGGCGCCTTGGGCAGGAGTGCTGCAACCACGGTCACTGTGCCAGCCTGCCTGGCGCTCTCACATGAAGAGGTGGACAGTTCAAACTTACCAGGCGACTGGGCGACGGGATACGCTCTTGCTGGCCCAGTAGCAAACTGCAGTCAGTTGATAGACTGGAAAACCTGGCCTGCCTTTCCCGGGCGCCCAGGACAGGAACAGCCCTGGGGGGCCAGCTGCCAGCTTACCCGAGCTCGCTGCCTCCCAGGGCGTCCCGACGGTCACAGCAGCTCCAGTGCACCCTCGCCACCTGCGGAGACGGTGCCCCGCCCCTTAGTCCGAGCAGGCCTGAGGCCAAGGCCACCGCCTCCTAGAAGCCCTCCGGGGCCGCCCCAGGAGGCGGTGGGGCTTCCGGAAGGGTCTGGGCCTCCTCCCCTGTCACCGTTCGGGAGGTGCGTTCTGTATGGCAGTCCCGTCCGTCAGAGTCCGTCCGTCAAGTACCAATGTTCGGGGAGGGAGAGGGCTGGGCGGGGGTGGTGGCAGCGTGGGAAGGGGGGCACGGAGCATGCGCGGCGCGGCAGGAGGGCGGCCCGCCCCGCGCTCGCCACAGCGCGACCCACGGGGGTTCTGTCTTGGCTCCTCAAGCACCCTGGAGCACTTCTGCTCCCGGTCCGGATGCTTCTAGGGCTCTGGTCTCAGTAGCCAGTCCTCTGCAGCCCCCAAAGGGGACGGGGAGGGGCGACATTAGGCTTTACGTCCATCCAATTATCAGTCCTTCCATCTGGGATCATTTGTGGGGCAGCTAGCAGCAAATGGCCAGGCCATGGCCACCCAGTAAGGGACCACACCACTTGAGCCAGGAAGGCTGAGATGAGAAACTGAGGGACAGTGAGAGGTGTTGGGGGGAGGGCAGTGTGCAGATAGGTGGAAGGGAAAGAGGGTAAGAGCCGGAAGTGGAGAGCTGCTGGATGCATTTGTCTTTCCCTCAGGTCCCCCCATGTAATCAGCAAGCCTGTCTGCAGGGTAGGCATTGGGGTCTGTATTTTCCCACAGGTCAACACTCATGTGGCAGAAACAGGACTGAAATGCAGGGTGGATTGGGGACACGTGCTCTGTTGACAATGATGAACTCCTCAAAAAGTTGGGGTTATGAAGCCTGTCAAAGAAGAGCGACAAGGATAACCGGCACCCTGCGTGTTCCACCCCTCTCCCAGCCCCAGGCCACTGGGAATTGAGCAGGAGCTAGGCACCTCTCTGCCTCTGAGTTCTACCTCTCCTTACAGAACCAGGAGAAACTAGGCCTTAGGGAGAAGCCTGAAATATGCCTGCCCTGGCTTAGCGGGAGAGCCGAGATACCCACCTAGCGTGCTTCTAGCTATGGGGAGCAGGGCTCACAGGGGTTTTTCACTGAACAGAGGCAGGGAGATTCCCCGCTTGGCTCTTGGCTGTGGGCCTTGCTCCTCAGTGTTGTCCTCTCACTTGGGGTCTGGCTAGGCAGGCCTGAGCCTGGGATCTCAAGGTGAAGTGGGGGGAATGGTGGTCCCTCAAAAAGATAGGTGCTTATCCTAATTCCAAGACCCGTGAATGTGACCTTTTTCGGAAAAAGGGTCTTTGCAGATGTGATGAAGTTAAGAGTCTCGAGATGAGGTCATGCTGGGATTATTCAAGTGGGTCCTAAATACAGCAAATGTCTTTAAAAGAGACAGAAGAGAGACATAGACACAAGGGAGAAAGCCATGTGAAGGTGGAGGCAGAGATGGGAGTGATGTAGCCACAAGCCTAGGGATGCCTGGAGACCCATGAAACTGGAAGAGGCAAAGAAGGGTTCTTCTCTAGAGCCTTTGGAGGTAGCATAGCCCTACTGACACCTTACTTTTGGGTTTCTGACTTCCAGAGCCACGAGAGAATAAATTCCTGTTGTTTTAATCTATTTGGTTTTTGGTAATTCATTGCAGCAGCCCCAGAAAACTCATACAAGAGGGAATGGGCTGAGCTCAGATCCCTCCCAAACCAGTTCCTGAAGGGGACTGGGCCTTTGCACCAGACATCAGCTAGTAACAGTTGGATGTGTACTGGGGGTGACTCTGGGTAAGGCAACTCCTTTGGCCTTGGGCAATTCCTAGAGAGCATTGGCATTCAACCTTCACAGAAAGGGGGGTGGGGGTGGATGAGAGCCTCAGGCCCAGAGTGGGGTTCTAAAACTGCACCCCACATCCACTTCAGTGTGAAATGACTGTGGGCTGTGAACATGCAGTTGCAATAGGGCTATAAAAATAGAGATGGGAACACAATGCATAATTGTCTTAAACTGTTTTGGGGTTACCATATGGCTGGTGGTAGCATTACTACAGTTAGTCTGGAGAGCATCAGAATGTTTACAGCAAAAGTGATAGACCTATGGGGAAAAAAATCTGATAAACCCACAATTGTATTGGGAGAGACATTTCCCTTCTAGATTTTTTTTTCAATATTTTATTAGAAAAAATTTCAAACACACGCCCAGCCAGCCTAGGCAGAGTAATATAACAAAACTCTGTTGATGCACCCATCAGCTGCTATCCACATAGGGCCATCCTGTCCATCTGTCCTCCATCCACCCCCCTTTATTGTGGTAGAAGGCTTGAGACTTTCTCTGAGGGAAGTGGCCTCACTGCTGCAGGCAGGGACAGCACCCTGAGGGCAGCAAGCCCAGATTCAGCCACTCTGCAGCATACACCCGGAACCCCAAGGGAAAAGGGGTCTGGAGAAGGGGTCCAGGGTGAAGCCAAGTTGTAGTGGGAAGTGAGCAAGTCTCGATCAGGAGTGAACCAGGTCCTTTATTAGCTCCTCTTATTCCATTCTTCTGTTAACGTTGGTGTTTGTTAATAGTTATGAGGGTTTAGAGGCTTCATATTACTTGTTGGAAGATAGATCAATAGAAATGATCCATTCTGAGAGGAAAAAAGATAAAAAAAAACCACACCAAACAGCACCTCAGTGAGCTGTGGGATAATATTAAAAGGTGTAACATGTGTGTTTGGGAACCCAGGAGAGAAGAAAGAGAGAGAGAGTAGGGAAGAAAAACTACTTGAAGAAACAATGACTGATGCTTTCAAAATTTGGAGATAGACATAATTTACAGATTCAAGAAGTTCTGTGAACGCAAAGGAGGATAAATTCAAAGAAAAACGACATGTAGGCTCATTGTAGTCAAACTACTGAAGACAAGAAAAAGAGAAAATCTTGAAAGTAGTCAGAGTTAGACAAAGCACTCCATATAGGAGAAGGTTAACAAGACAATCTACTGAATTCTTACTGAAAAGCATCAAATCCAGGATACAAAGAAACAACATTTTAAAGTGCTGAATAACAACAGCAAACTTTCAACCTGCACTTTCTGTCTATACCCAAGGAAAGACCCTTCAAGAATGAAGATGAAATAAGGACCTTTTGAGATAGATGAAAGCTAAGAGAATTCATCAATAGACCTGCACTGAAAAAAAAATGGTACAGGAGGTCTCTCCGTTTAAAAAACATGGTAACAGAGAGACCTTGATCTTTGGGCAGAGATGGAGAACACCAGAAATGGCAAATATGTGGGTAAATATTTAAAAACATTTTTCTTAATTTCTTTATAATATACATGACTATTTAAAATAAAAATTATAATAGTGTGTTGTAACACATGTGTATTACAAAATAGTGTGTTGTAACACATACAATGGATGGAAATGTAATGCATATGGTAACTACAGCATAAAGGATAGATTAGAGAGGGAATGAAGGTTCTTACAGTATTAACCACAAACAGACACTGAAAAAGTAAGGATATATATTATAACCTCTAGAGCAACCACATAAAAACAATGCAAAGTGATCACTTCCTGAAAAGGTTGTAGATAAGTTACAATGGAATTTTTAAAAATTGATTATCTCAGGCAAGAAAAGAGGCACATAAGAACAAAAACTGCTATAGATGGGACAGACAGTGCTATAGACTGCATGTTTGTGTCCTCCTGAAGATTCACATGTTAAATTCTAACCCCTGATATGATGGTATTTGGAGTTGGAGCCCTTAGCAGGTGATTAGGCCAGACAGAGGCTTGATTGGGTCAGACAGGCCCCCATGAATGGGATTAGAGCCCTTATGAGGGAGACTCCAGAGAGTTCCCTTTCCCCTTTCTGCCATGTGAGGACATAGTGAGAAGACAGAAGACTATGACCTAGGAAGTGGGCTCTCATCAGACACAGGATCTGCTGCTCCTTGGTCATGGACTATCCAGCCTCCAAAACTGTGAGAAATAAATGTTTGTTATTTATAAGCCACCTCATCTATGGTATTTTGTTATAGCCACCTGAATGGACTAAGACAGACAGTAAAAGGATAGACCTAAATTTAACCATGTAAAAATTATACTCAGTGTTATGATGGGTTAAATACTTAAGTGAAAATGTAAATATTGACAGTATGAATAAAAAGAGCAATGACTTTGCTGTCTACAAGAGACGCAATTTAAAAAGACTCAGATGAGTGGACAGTAAGAGAATCCAAAATGATATACCATGCAAAGGGTAAGCATAAGAAAGTAGGAATGGCTACATTAATACCAGACAAAACATATTTAAAGACAAAGACTATTACCTGAGATAAAAGGTAATAATGAATTATATGTGTTAATTAATCAGGAATACATGGAGTTCATAAGTGTATTTGTATGTTATAAACTTAAAATATACAAAACAAAAGTTGACACTTAAAAAAATTACTTTATTGTTGTTCAAGTACAGTTATCTGCATTTACCCCTCTTCACTCTCCCCCTACCCCAGCCATCCCTACCTCCCTCCCCTGCTTCTTCTAGTGAAGATGATGGCATAGGTAACAATGGCTCACCTCTTTGCACAACCACATCAAAATCACAACTAAAATATAGAACAACCATCACTCAGAGCTGTCAGAAATTGAGATGAATGGAAGTCTGACAACTACGGAATTAAAGAAATCACATCCATCCAGACTGGTAGGAGGGGCAGAGACGTGGAACAGGCTGGTCCCACATCCACGTGAAATGGGTTAAATATCTCAGGAGTGAGGAGGTCCAGTGCCACACCAGGCCCCCGAGCCCAGGGTTCCAGTACCATGAAGGTAAGTCCCCATAACTTCTGGCTGCAAAAACCAGCAGGGACTGAGTCAGGGGAAGAAACTTCTGGAGTCCCAAGCAGTTCCTCTTAAACAACTCCCACATGGATTTACTCAGACTCACTCCCTCTGAGCTCCAGCACTGGCGTAGCAGCTTGAAAGGCATCAGTGGCATACAGGGAGGAACTGAAGTGTTTGGCATCAAGGTGAGAGCTGGGGGACAGCTTTCTCCCAGAGAGAAAGGTAGGAAGAGGCCATTTCCCCTTTTCTTTTCTTTTTAAAGGTTTTATTTTATTTATTTTTAGAGAGAGGGGAAGGGAGGGAGAAAGAGAAGGAGAGGAACGTCAATGTATGGTTGCCTCTCATGTGACCCTCACTAGGGAACTGGCCCATAACCCAGGCATGTGCCCTGACTGGGAATCAAACTGGCGACCCTTTGGTTTGCAGCCCATGCTCAATCCACTGAGCTACACCAGCCAGAGCCATTTCCCCTTTTCTAAACCCCCTTCCCACAGAGCCACATAGCTGGCAAGTGGGTGCCATATATGAGACTCCATTAATCTGGCTAACATTGTTTTTGCCCCACCCCACCCAATTTATGGGCCCACCCAAGCTGTTAATCATGAGTTTTCCATATGAATGGCTGGTCTTGGCTCATGCTTCACAACTTTCTAAATCCTCTCAAATAAGCAAAAACTGGCATCCGTGAGTCCCCAGCCCTTGTACTTCTCGCTAAGTAGCCCCAGGCCTGGCACTAGCAGCAGCCAACCTAGATTCACAGCTTGGCTTCACCTGGGAATCTCTAAGCCCAGCACAAGTAGCAGCCATCTCAGATTGCTTTATAGCCTAGGCAGGGCAGCCCCAGGCAAAACACAGGTTGGGGCTGACCTTGGCCTGCACCACCTGGGAAAGGGCCTACACACTCAGTGGACAGCTACAGACCACATCGAAACACCACCACCCTGCCCCTGCACAGCTGATCCTCCATGGAGGGCTGAGGATGGTGGTCAGTGGTCATAGCCAGTCCTTGCATCTGACTGCCCAGGGTAAGTCCCTCCCATTGATCTGCCAACAGCAACCAAAGCTCCACTACAAGAGGAGGGTGTAGTCAGCCCACACAAGGGGCACACCAGGAGTACCCAGCTTGGGTAACAGGGGAGGCTGTGCCACTGGACCCTACAGAACACCTATTACATTAGGCCATGCTACCAAGTCATAGCAGCTATACCTAGTACATAGAAAGAAACACAGGAAGGCTTCCAAAATGAGAAACATGGTCCAAATAAAAGAAGAGATAAAAACTCCAGAAAAAGAATTAAACAAAAGTGAGATAAGCAATCCATCAGGTACAGAGTTCAAAACACTGGTTATAAGGACGCTCAAGGAATTTAGTGAGGACCTCAACAGCATAAAAAAGATCCCATCAGAAAGAAAGGATTTGCTAATTAAAATTAAAAAAAAACAATTTACAGAGAAAGAATAGTAGAGTGGATGAAGCCAAGAGTCAAACCAATGATTTGGAACATAAGGAGCAAAAAATTACCAATCAGAATAACAATAAGAAAAAATAATCCAAAAATATGAGGATAGTGTAAGCAACTTATGGGACAACTGCAAGCATTCCAACATTTGTATCATACAGGTGCCAGAAGGAGAAAAGAAAGAGCAAGAAATTGGAAATCTATATGAAAAAATAATGAAGGAAAACCTCTCTGCCCTGACTGGTGTGGCTCAGTGGATTGAGCACTGGCCTGCAAACCAAAAGGTCACTGGTTCGATTCCCAGTCAGGGCACATGCCTGGGTTGCAGGCCAGGTCCCCAGTGAGGGGCATGTGAGAGGCAAAACCACACATTGATGTTTCTCTCCCTCCCCCTCTCTCTAACAATAAATAAATAAAATCTTTTAAAAAAGAGAAAAATCTCCCTAAGGAAATAGACATGCAAGTCCAAGGAGCACAGTCCCAAACAAGATGGATGCAAAGAGGCCCAGTCCAAGACACATCATAATTAAAATGTCAAAGGTTAAAGATAAAGAGAGAATCTTAAAAACAGCAAGAGAAAAGCAGATGATTGCCTACAAAGAAGTTCTCATAAGACTGTCAGCTGATTTCTCAAAAGAAACTCTGTAGGCTAGAAGGGATTGGCAAGAAATATTCAAAGTCATGAAAAATAAGAACCTATAGCCAAGATTGCTCTACCCAGCAAAGCTATCATTTAGAACTGAAGGGCAGATAAAGAGCTTCCCAGACAAGAAAAACCTAAAGGAGTTCATCATCACCAAACCATTATTATATGAAATGTTAAAGGGACTTGTTTAAGAAAAAGAAGGTACAAATTATAAACAATAAAATGGCAAAAAATACATATCTATCAACAACTGAATCTAAAAAAAACCAAACTAAGCAAACAAGAAGAACAGAGACAGAATCATGGATACTGAGAGCATCTGGTGGCCAGATGTGAGGGGGTTATAGGGGAATAGGTGAAGAGGTGAGGGGATTAAGGAGTACAAATAGGTAGTTACAGAACAGCCATGGGGATGTAAAGCACAGTATAAGAAATAGAGTAGCCAAAGAACTTACATGCATGACCCATGGACATGAACAATGGTGTGGGGATTGCCTAAATGTGTGGGGGTGCTGGCTGGAGGTGTGTAAAGGGGGAGAAATTGGGACACTTGTAATAGCATAATCAATAAAATATAATTTTTAAAAAGTTGATAGAATAAAAGGAGAAACAAACATGCCCACAATTATAGTGGGCAATTTTTACATTTCTGCCTCAGCCATTGATATAAGTTGACAAGAAGTCAGTAAAAATAGAGAATATCTTTATGATCTTTTCAACCACAATAGAAAACAGGTATTGAAGGGGTGTCCATTGGCGGCCATGGCTGCTGCAGTATCAGTGGCTCCCAAAGCCCAGTGGAGTGCGGTAATTTGGGCTGCACCAGATAGAGGGCAGAGACAGATTTGTATTGGATTTGATGCAGAACCCCTAAGACACATCATTAGAGACTTATAGGACTTTTTTCCTCATTCTAGACTCAGAGGAGGGTTTCCTGGGACTGGTGGGCTGGCCTTAGAGTAGGGGGGAGTGGGTCACCAGCAGGGTGCCCCAAAGAGCTAAGGTTGCCTAGAGAACAACCAGGACTGGGTTTTCCTCCTTTTCCTGCTGGCACCTGCAACATTGTCTGTAGAAGGAGTGGGCCTGTTGTGCCACACTCATTCCGACCATTGAAGAAATCACTCATTCACATATTTTCCCCGTTAACTTTTCCCATTTCTGTTAACCCATGGGAATACAGTGACTGGCATCTGAAAACCTAGGGGCTGGGGACCTAAGTTTGCTGAAAGTTCTCTCTGGTGCAAACATCAGCAAAAAGGGGCTGTTCTAGGAGAAACTAAACTGTTGACTGGTTTGGATTTCAGCCTTCTCCGTGGAACTGCACCACCAGTCATTGTGCCTGAAGGAGTACACACACTTTATGAAGATATTCTTGAGGGAAAACACCACCAAGGGAGTGAAACACATAATGTGATTGTATCAGGCAAGGCTGCAGAAATACCAGTTGCCCATGAACATGAGCATAACCATGACTAGATACAGCTGCATGCCTACACTGGCGTTCCCCTTCTACTGGGCTTTGTTTTCATGTTGCTGGTAGATGAGATTGGCAACTCCTATGTGCATTATACAGATGATGCAGAAACTGCAAGGCCTAGCAATTCCAAAATCACCAATACACTGGGTCTGGCTGTCCATGCTGCAGGTGATGGTGTTGCATTGGGAGCAGCAGCTTCTACTTCACAGACTAGCGTCCAGTTAATTGTGTTTGTGGCTTCAATGCTATGGAAGTCACCAGCTGCTTTTGGGCTGGTTTTGTTCTTAATGAATGGTGGCCTACAGCAGAATCAAATTAGAAAGCACTTACTGGTCTTTGCACTGGCAGCACCAGTTATGTCCATGGTGACATTCTTAGGACTTAATAAGGGCAGTAAAGAAGCCTTTCCAGAGGTCAATGCCACTGGAGTGGCCACACTTTTGCCTGCCACTTTTGTCTGCCAGGACATTTCTTTCTTTTTCTTTTAAAGATTTTATTTATTTATTTTTAGAGAGGAGGAAGGGAGGGAGAAAGAAAGGGAGAGAAACATCAATGTGTGGTTGCCTTTTGCACGTGCCCCCCCCCCCCCCCCCCGCTGGGGACCTGGCCTGCAATCCAGGCATGTGCCCTGACTGGGAATCGAACCAGTGACCCTTCGGTTCGCAGGCTGGCACTCAATCCATTGAGCCACACCAGCCGGGGTTGCCAGGACATTTCTTTATGTTGCCACAGTACATGTCCTCCCTGATGTGGGTGGAATGAGGCACAGTCACCAATCTGAACCCACTGGAGGTGGCAGCCCTGGTTCTGTGTTGCCTCATCCCACTCATCCTCTCAACAGGACACCAGCATTAAATGTTCAGGTTCTAGCCTCAATCCATAGCCATTTGCCATCTAGAACAGCCAGCACATGATAGCTGCTCACTTTCTTAGTCTCTTGTCTCACCTTGCCCATTTCCACCTGTATTCCTAGAGTCCATAGAGAGGTGATATTAAGACTTGGAGTAACAGAAAGCTTTTAGAGTAGAAATAACACATTGTGATTGGATATACACATTTCATTGTATTGTCTTTTAAAGGGCCCTGGGAATTTAGAGTTTTGATGTTTCTCTAAACGCTATTTTCAGGGAAGATGGAATTTAGTTTTAATTTTTAAGGAAAAGTGGAGAACTTCATACTCACAATGAAATAGTAATTATGAGAATACAGTGTTCTGTAATTAAACTAAATCTCTTAGTTTAGAGCAGGGGTGTCAAACTCATTTTCACCAGGGGTCACATCATCCTCACAGTTGCCTTCAAAAGGCTGAATGTAATTTTAGGACTGTATAAGGAGTAGTTATATTTATACAGTCCTAAAATTAGATTCAGCCCTTTGAAGGCAACTGTGGGGCTGATGTGACCCTCGGTAAAAATGAGTTTGACACCCCTGGTTTAGAGGCTCTGCCACTTTAATTCATTTATTTTTAATATGGGTCTCACCATGTAAGACTGGTGCTTTACCATTTATGCCACATGCCTTTATAAAAAGTCATAATGCCTGTTGTCTTAGATGCTAAAGATAACTGTAGTTAATTTGGGGCTAGAGTCAGAAAAAATGATGGCAAACAAATTGAAAGTTGACTTTATACTCGGGAGATATCCACTGAAAAGGCCTGTCTGGGAGGACTTTAACACCTCTTTCTGCATGTGCCTCTTTGAAGACAGGCTGCCATTCCACCAAATGGAGCAACAGAGATGGACTAGCTTCTAAAGAGGTGACTAAGTATTTAGTAGCATTTTTTCAAGTTCTTCTTTGCAGAACCCTGCCTCCAATGCATGCTTATAAGGAGCCAAGTTCTAGTAGGTTTAGGTCTAGACTTTCCTTCAAGAACAGTCAGGTGCCAAAATATCTTTAGAAATTAAGTGGTATTAAATTTTGAGTGAATTTGGATAGTTACTGTCATCTTTGTAAGAACCTCTTTAAAAGTAAGATTAACCAAAACCTATGCTTTCCTTTTTTTTCTTTTTAAATATTAATCTTATCAGACTATCAGTCCCTCTGGCAAAATACTTGGTGTCTCTTGGGTGATGCGAGCTCAGTGTCACCTAGGCACCTGTAGAGGTGAAGAAAGTCAAGATGTATCATACATGGGAAGTGTTTGCTTGTTCATTTAAAGTTATTGAAAGAGAGGAAGGAGGGAAGGAAGGAAGGAAAGAAGGAAAGAGAGAGAAAGGAAACTATACAGAAAATGTGCCCGATTTGCCACCATAGGCTCTCCATCTGCAAGTTTACTCCACCAACTACCTGCTGCCGTGTTCGTAGGCCATCTTGTTGCTGAAGGGCCAATGGGTGTGCTTTTTGCTTCTACATGCTTCAAGCCTCGGGTCACCAAGCCCCCACCACTTGCAGCCTGTTGCTACTGTAACATATTGCCTCCTCACGTGCTTTTCTGATCCAATCATTTGCCCTGCACCCAGACACAGCCAGAACTTTCCACCTCTTCGCGGAGGGGCTTCTGGGAAGCCCTCGTGGCCTTAACACAGAGAGCTTGGAATACGCCGCCACTCAGCTCCTGGCTGCGCAGCAGAGGCGAGTTCTTCAGTCCCTTACGAGTGGGATTTTGGAGTCGTCCACGAAGGCCGAGAAAGTGAGGCCCAACGCAGAGGTTTGGTGGGGACTCAAGCTGGAGTAGGGCTCCTGGGTGAGGGGTTCGGAGAGGAGGGCTAATGTGTAGGGGTGCCTGGGCGGGTCCCAGGCACCCAGCCTAAGGGAGGGCTGCTGACTGAGGGGGTGATGAGGGCAGGATTCTCAGTTGGGGGTCCAGAGGGTGGTACTGCTGGCTGGATGGGGGCAGGTGGGGGTGCTGTGGTGTAGGGAGGTGGTGTGTGGAGTTAATGGCTAAGCGGTTGAGGGGCTGTGGGCAGGGAAGGCTCCACGGTGCTGGAGGGGAGGGCAATGACTGTTCTTCCAGGAGGACAGAGGGTGGGGTCACCTGCCAAGTGGCTGGGGCCAACTTTGGGGCTCCACAGAGGAAAAGGCTGCTGGTTGTGGGTGGGTGTGGGGCAGGCAGGGTCCCGGTGCCCTGACGTGAGAGGAGAACTAATGCTTACTGTGGGGATAAAGGGAGTGCTACTGGTCAAGGTGGGGACTATTGGGAGGGTCCCCGCGTGTGGGGAGCTTCCACTGTGCGTGTAGGGAGAAGAGGGGGAGGGCGAACGCCATAGAGGAGGACTGACTGAGGGGTGGAGAGCATGGGGGGGAGGGTCCCAAGAGAAGGGCTCTCTGGTGTAAGGAGGCGAGAGGAGAAGGCTAACGTCTAAACATAAGGGGGGCGCACTGGTGGAGGCGAGTACCACTGGCTGAGTGCCAGGCACAGCATAAGAGGGTGGAGCCCTGTGTCCAGGGAAGAGATGGGCTGGAAGGTAGAGCCACTGGCTGAGGTGTGGGGGTAGAGGAGCCGCCTGGCACATGGGGAGCAGGTGATGGTAAGAGGGGAACACGCTGGGGGTGCTGCGATCTGGTGGAGGTTGTCGGATACTGCAAATAGAGGGTGGGGGTTGGGGATAGGGCACTGCAATTGGAATCTGAGAGGTCACCCATCACCTCTGTGTGTGTGTGGGGGGGTGGCATAGGGATTTCAGTGTGGGGAGGGGCAAAGCCTTGGCCTCCACAGGAAATATAGATTCTTTTTTTAATCTTTTTTAAAAAAGATTTTATTTATTTATTTTTTGAGAGGGAAGGGAGGGAGAAAGAGAGAGAGAGAAACATCAATGTACGGATGCTGGGGGCTGTGGCCTAAACCCAGGCATGTGCCCTGACTGGGAATCAAACCTCCAACACTTTGGTTTGCAGTCCGCGCTCAATCCACTGAGCTATGCCAGCCAGGGCGTATAGATTCTTTTTTAAAAGTATATTTTATTGATTATGCTATTGCAGTTGTCCCATTTTTTTCTCCCATTTACACCCTGGCCGTGCACCAGGCCCCTCCCACCAACATTTCACCACTTAGTTCATGTCCATGGGTCATACATATAGGTTCCTTGGCTTCTCCATTTCCCATACTATTCTTAACCTCCCCCTGTCTATTTTCTACCTACCAATTATGCTTCTTATCCACTGTACTTTTCCTCCATACTCCTCCCTCCCTCTTCCCACTGAAAGCCCTCCATGTGATCTCCATTTCTGTGATTCTGTTCCTGTTCTGCTTGTTTACTTAGTTTTTTTTTTACCTTCAGTTGTTAATACTTGTGAATTTGTTGCCATTTTAATGTTCATAGTTTTGATCTTCTTTTTCTTAAATAAGTCCCTTTAACATTTCATATAATAAGGACTTGGTGATGATGAACTCCTTTAACTTGATCTTGTCTGAGAAGCACTTTATCTTCCCTTCTATTCTGAATGAGAGCTTTGCTAGATAGAGTCACCTTGAATGTAGGTCCTTCCTTGCCTTTCATGACTTGGAATATTTCTTTCCAGCCCCTTCTTCCCTGCAAGATTTCTTTTGAGAAATTAGCTGACAGTCTGATGGGAACTCCTTTGTAGGTAACTGTCTCCTTTTCTCTTGCTGCTTTTAAGGTTCACTCCTTATCTTTAATCTTAGGTAACTTAATGATGATGTGCCTTGGTGTGTTCCTCCTTGGGTCCAACTTCTTTGGGACTCTGAGCTTCCTAGAAGTCTATTTCCTTTGCCAGATTGGGGACATTTTCCTCCATTATTCGTTCAAGTAAATTTTCAATTTCTTGCTCCTCTTCTTCTCCTTCTGGCACCCCTGTGTTTCGAACGTTGGAATGTTTCAGGTTGTCCCAGAGCTTTCTCAGCCTCTCTTCATTTTTTTTTGAATTTCTGTTTCTTCATTCTGTCCTGGTTGAATGTTTGTTTCTTCCCTCTGCTCCAAACTGTTGATTTGAGTCCCAGTTTCCTTCCCTTCTCTGTTGGTTCCCTGTATATTTTTCTTTATTTCACTTTGCATAGCCTTCACTTCTTCCTCTATTTTGTGTCCATGCTTAATCATTTCTGTGAGCATCCTGATTACTGTGTTTTGAATCTGCATCTGATAGGTTGGCTATGTCCTCGTCACTTAGTTCTTTCTCTGGACTTTTGATCTGTTCTTTCATTTGGGCCGTATTTCTTTGTCTCAGCACACTGGTTATGTTGTAAAGGGTGGAGCCTTAGGTATTCGTCAGGGTGGGGCAACCCACTTTGCTGTGTTGTGGCACTGTATGTGGGGGGAGGGGTCAGAGAGGGAACAGTGCCACTTGCTCTGCTCTCGCCCTATGTTCAGTCACTGCCCAAAAGCAAATTGGGCCCTTCTGGTGCTGAGGTCCCAGGTGGGTGGGCTTGTGTATATTCTAGGACCCCGTGGGTGTCTCCAATGGACTCTCCTGTGAGGCTGGGAGTTTCTCCTGCTGCCACAACTCCCACAGGTTTTTTCAATCAGAGGTTTTGAGGTTTTAGTTTCCTGCACTGGATCCCTGGGTTGTGCAGTCTGTCTCGCTCCCTAGTTGTTCCTCCTGGCTTATCTGCATGTGAATGTGGCACCACTTGGTCCACCAACTGCTGCCTTGCCATGAGTCCTTTCCACCCTGGCTTCCTGTCTCTGCCCCTCCTACTGGTCTGGATGAATGTTTCTTCTTTAACCCCTTGTTTATCGGACTTCTTTACAGTTCAGTTTTCTGGCAGTTTTGTTTTTTTGTTTTTAAATTTGTTGTCCTTATTTTGGTTGTGCAAAGAAGCAAAGCATATCTACCTATGCCTCCCTTCTTGGCTGGAAGTTCTGAAAATACAGATTCTTTATGAGGGTGCTTTATACATTCACCAGATACAACATGTTTCCAGCCATGAAAAGTCTCCCTAAATGTAAAATGATTGCTTTTACTTAATAAGTTCTCTAATCATGAGAGAATTTTATTTGAAATTAGCAGTGATAACATTTCTAAATATTTGGAAACCTATGAATCAAAGAAAACCACAAAGAAACTTAGAAAATATTTCTTGTCAAATACTTTAATAAGAAAAAATACAGCTTACCAAAATCAGTGGGAAGTAACTAAAGAAACAATCGGAGGAAAATGTATTGCTCTAAATGCTTATATTAGGAAAAAAGAAGGGCGTACACTCGACGACCTAATAGCCCATTTAAAGAAGCTAGAGAAAGTAAAGTAAATGTAAAATGAGTTGACGGAAAAGAAATAATAGGGCTGAGAAAGGAAATCAGTGACAGAAAGCAAATTATAGAGACAATTAACAAAGCCATCTCTTGGTTCTTTTTAAAGAGCAATGAAACTGATAAAGCCCTGGCAAGACTAATCACAGAAAAGGAGAAGGACTACTAATCACTAATCAGGTATGAAAGAGGGCTACCACTACAAATCAAACAGACATTAAAAAGAGAATGAGTTGGCATGGGGAAAATGGGGACAACTCTACTTGAACAACAATTAAAAAAAGAGAATGAGGGAATATTATGGAAAAATTTGTGCCAAAAATTTGAAAACTTGACAAATTTCTTGGGGAAAAAAGGGTGATTTCCTAAAACTGATGCCAGTAAAAAATGGAAATTGTGACTAGCAAAAATGTTTCCTAAAATTAAACAACAACAACAAAACCAGGGAGGGGAGGTGCTCCAGGCCTCTGCTGGGAGGGGCACTGGGCTGTGTAGCACATGCATGACTCTCTTCCCTTTGCACCCATAGGACAAGGGCCACACTACAACAACCTGCACATCACTGTCCAATCACTTCTACCCACCCCCCAGGCCCTCAGGCGATGGCGATGGCACTGGAGCTGGCGATGCTGCATGACTGGTGTAGCCTGATGGGTGTGAACGCCCGCCGCTCCTTGCTCATCCTGGGCATCCCAGATGACTGTGAGGACCAGGAATTCCAGGAGACTGTGCAGGCTGCCCTGTGGCACCTGGGCAGGTACCGAGTGCTGGGCAAGGTCTTCAAAAGGGAGCTCCAGTCTACCGTTGCCTTGATTGAGTTTGCTGAGTATTTAAACCGAAATTCAATCCCCCAACAAGTACCAGGCAGGGAGGGACCCTGGACTGTGGTCTTTCTGCCTGAGGCCTCTGATTCTGAGTCACAAGATAGACCTGATTTCCCTGCACTACTCCAGAGGGAAGCAGGGGCTGGCAGGGCAGGTGAGGCAAGAGGTGTAGGTGAGGAAGAAGCTGCAGGTGAGGAAGGAGCTGCAGGCGAGGAAGGAGCTGCAGGCGAGGATGGAGCTGCAGGCGAGGGAGGAGCTGCAGGCGAGGGAGGAGCTGCAGATGAAGAAGGAGCTGCAGGTGAGGATGGAGCTGCAGGTGAGGTAGGAGCTGCAGATGAAGAAGGAGCTGCAGGTGAGGATGGAGCTGTAGGTGAGGATGGAGCTGCAGGTGAGGAGAGAGCTGCTGGTGAGGCAGGAGCTGAAGATGAAGCAGGAATATCAGATGAGGAGGGAGCTGCAGGTGACACAGGAATTGCAGGTATGGCAGCATCTGTGAGTATGGCAGGAGCCTCAGGTGAGGCAGGAGCTCCAGGTGAGGAAGTTGTGGGTGTGGCAGGAGCCCCAGGACAGGCAGGAGCTTGGAACCAGCAATGGAGGCAGGCCTTGCAGCCTATGCTGGAAAATATGGCCTACCAGGAACTGAGAACCTTTTCTGGGATGGAAGAGCCAGGCCACGGGGATGAGTCCTTTGAGAGCTGGCTGGACCATGCCAATGACATGCTGTACCTGTGGCGCCACATATCAGAAAGGGAGAGGAGGAGGAGGCTTGTGGAAAGCTTGGGTGGCCCTGCGCTGGATCTTGTGAGTGACCTCTTACGTGAAAATCCCAACATCACTGCACAGGACTGCCTTGCTGCACTGATTCAGGTATTTGGGAACAAGGACAATCCTATGACTTCGCGGCTGAAATTCATGACTTGTGCCCAACGGCCCCAGGAGACTCTCTTTGCCTATGTCATGCGCCTGGAAGGCCTGCTGCAGGCGGCCATAGAGAAGGGGGCCATCCAACCCCGTATGGCAGACCAGGTGCGTGCCCGGCAGGTGCTGATGCGAGCCCGTCCCAATGAGATGCTCTGGAACATGCTGAGGAGATTGCGGCTGGAGAGGAGATCACCTGGTTTCCTGGGGATGCTTCGGCTTATTCGGGAGTCAGAGGCATGGGAGGCCACTCCAACTACGAGCCAGCAGGCCCAAATGGAAGAAGGGGCCTGTGTGGATGTTGGAGACCTGGCTTCTGACCTGGTTGTTGCCCAGGCCATCCCAGCCCATGAAGATGATGGCGAGGCTGCCCCAGCCCATGAAGGAGCTGCCCATGCTGCCCTAGTCCATGAAGATGCTGCCCAGGCCGCCCCAGCCCATGAAGATGCTGCCCAGGCCGCCCCAGCCCACGAAGGAGCTGCCCATGCTGCCCCAGCCCGTGAAGATGATGGCGAGGCTGCCCCAACCCATGAAGGAGCTGCCCAGGGTGCCCTTTCCAAAGAAGATAGTGCCGAGGCTGCAATGGCCCATGCAGTGGCCAGTGAGGCAGGTCCTGGCATTGCCAGTCCTGATGAGGCTGCTCCTAAAACCAGTGATACCACCAGGGCCAGCCCTCCCTCTGAGGAGACCACCTCTGCCACTCAGCGAGATGAAAATGCTCTTGCTCCAGCAGGCCTAGGTCAGGCAGAACCGTCCTCTGCCCATGTGAGCAGTGCTTCTGGGGTGGGCTTGGGTGGTCCCAGTGGTCGTCCAGAGGGCCAGGCCCAGGCAGACCAGGAGGCCGAGGAACCCCCTGAGGAGGGGCTCAAAGCCATCCCGGAGGAGTCAGGAAGTGAGGCCAGGGCAGGGGAGATGAGTTCCCCTGAGCCCTCCTCAGGCAAATAGGCTTAGAAGACCCAGTGACCTCCAGTCCTCTCAGGCAGCACAGGCCTGGAGGCAAGAGGAGGTCAGGTCAGGGTAGCCTGGGTGGGTGTGCTGGCCTACGTACCAGGGCAGCTACCTCTCAGCCCTGGCACATGTTGTGAGCTCCACTATCAGCCATGGCTCTGCTCACTCTCGTCCAATGTCCTGAGCTCAACCTCTGCTTTCTCGGTGTAGATTTCGGTCAAGCACTGCTTGTTCTTGTGGGGATGTGTGTGTGCTTCTCTGAGCAGTTCCTGTACCTCCACTCCCACCCCGGCGACCCTGTGCCCAGTCCCAGGAGATGGAAGGAAGGGCCAACGAAGGCGAGGCTGGGCCTTATCCAGTGACCTCGGAAGGAAGAACTGGACCAGGGACCAAAAGGGCTGCCCGAGGCTCCACGGGGACTGCTCTGATGTGCCACCCTGTTGTTCCTTGTGACTCGGCTTCCTCGGCTTGGAGGAGTGCCCCCTGCTGTGTTGTCCAGCATCCTGTGACTGTCCTGTGCAGGCCACAGGGCAGGGCCAGGCCCCAGCATGTTGGCCAGAGGGGGAGGGGAGCCCTGCAGTGAGTGGACATTGCCAGCGTCCACGGTCCTGCAAAGGCCCATGGTGGGGCCCTCAGGAAGGGGGACTAGGGTGGGAGGGCTGTGGTGGGGGGGGGGCACCTGAGGCACCTTGTCAGGGACTTCTAGGAGGAGTGGCAGTTCTGGACCTATGGGCTTTAGTGGCCATTAGGAGTTCCTCTCTGTTGTCATTCCATTTCTTCAAATATTTCAGTAAATGTTTCTCTTCAATAAATTTTGTTGAGTTTTGCTATGGGAAGTTGAGGGGAGTGTGTGCTGGGGATGGAGTTGGGAACCAGAAAAGGATTACGGCTTAGCACCCATGGGAGACTTTGCCCATGAGAGGGTAGAGTAGGTACTTTGGCAGGCTAGGATATGACAAAAGTTTTTGTTTCACTGAATGGGTGAATTATAAAGTTTTGGGGTTATAATTTTATAATCCCAATTAGGAGTGATCCTACTTTTCTCCTTGGCTGGGGGGAAGGAGGCACTGGTATCTAGTGCATGGGATGCAGGACTGCTAAGTGTGTGTGCTGTGTGGGGTAGGGCCACATAAGAACTGTCATCCCCCACAGCCTATGGCCTCCTTGGTGAGAAACCAGTATTAGACTGGTAAGATTTTAGTAAAAACCCCAAGTGTATCTTAATTTGAGGTATCCAAAAATATGAAAATATCACCATGGAACAACAGTGGTAACACTGAGCAACTCAAAATCTAGACATTCTGGCGGTTTCTTGGAGAATGGGCACTAACACATCCAGCAAAAAGGATATTTTGCAGGTTCTCCACCTGCAAAAAGACTTGCTCTCAAGGACAAGAAAAAGACTAGGATGGTGATCTGTACAATGGAGGTACCCACAATACTTGGGGGATGGGGTGCTCTCTGAAGGGGTAATATTCAGGGGTGGGAGGTCAGGATTCATGCTAAAGGCAGTGGGAAGCTGTTGGACCATTAATGTGGTTCCAGTGAACATTGCTCATTCCTTCTGTTTCCAGAGGTTGTCACTTTATGAGGCTGAGCCTACCTCCTATGAGAGGAATGCAAAATGCCAGGTCTGTGATCTCCCAGCTTCTCTTGCAGATAGGACATGGGTATGTGACCAGGACACGTCAACCAGATGCTCCTGCTGCCAATTGAATCTGGGCCCAGAGGTGGGAAGAAGCAGGATCACACAGATTCCACTTGGTAGTGAGTGGCAGCAGGGGCAGTGATAGCTATGGTTCTGGCACCATCTGAGTCCCCTTTTGGTGGTGCAAACCACAGTATCTGTGCCCACTCATGGGAGGGAGCCGGCCCAGCACTTCACCACAATGCAGACCCTTGTTCCTCCAAGCCTGACTCTCCAGCCCTCCCCAAATGCCCATGAGTGCCCCCACTCCCGATGCCATCCTTCAGCTAGTCCTCTTTGTGCTTCCAGTGGCTACACTGAGATGTGATGGCTAAAGACTAGGGTGGTACAAGTGCCTTCCAATGACACCATTCAAAAGAGCAGCCCACAGGAGTAGATATTTGTACTATAACTCCTGCTTGTAGCTGGGATTTGGGAATACTGTGCTTAATGCCTCCAGGGAAGGTCTGAGGGAAAGTACATCCCAGAATTTAGGGTGTGGAGTCCTGGGGCAACAGGGTCAGGATGGGTAGGCCTTTGCCTCTTTTCTCTTGGAACTGGATGATGTGGCTGAAGTCTGAGGGGGAGCTGGTCTGGTGAAAAGAGGAAAGCCCCCAATCTGGGGTGAGCAGCAGTGCACACCCTCTGAGAACATGTCCCAGGCACAGCTAAAGTTGGTGCCTTCCTGCAGACTCCTGTCAGCTGGGTATGCCCTATCAAGGATAGAGAGGAGCCTGTGAGAGGGCAGGGAGATGCCCTGGGATTGAGGAGAGTGTCTGCTCAGGACAAAGCTTCAGTGTGTATGTGTTTGTGGAGGGGGGCAGGGGGAGAGAGAGAGAGTATGAGTTGGGCAAGTTGTTTCTCAGACTATCTCCTCTGACTAGAGCCTGAGACTTCCAGTGGCTTCCCTCTTCCCCATGAATTGAGGAAGAGCACATACACTAACACCAGCCAACTCAGGGGGCCAAGCAGACTGGTTGCTGAGGGAGCCCCTATCCCCATTTTTCTACTCTGTCCCCATTCCCCACAGCTTATGGCCCAGATAAGATGGTCAGAGACATCCCCACAGACCTTGACAATGCCTTTCATATTTCCTTCCCAGTCTTTCTCTAGTATCCTCTGTTCAGCTTGCAGTCCAAGTCCTTATCAGTGTAGCCACTTCCTGTTCCTGCCTATAGCCTGGGGCAGCTTGCAGAGTCCTGAGGATTGGGGAGCCCCTCCACACCACTTGCTGTGTCTTTTCCAGCTTGTAGGGACAGATTCATGGCTGGCACAGGGAGTGGTGGCTTGTTGAGTAGATGGCCCTCCCTGAAGCTTAGTGCAGACTCTGCTGGCACCCCATCCTAGCCCCATGCCCATTCTCATCCCAGTCCAGCTCACATCTGCAGAGAGGGAGACAGTATTGACCAAATGACCACTAACACCCTGCTACAGAGTCACCCCTGAAAAATGAAAGAGAAACCCACTGGCTGCTGGGTGGGGGACAGTGACTCGGTGCCTGCCCATTGGGAGGCACTTGGGACTTGGCTTTCAACACTTCCCCAACAAGGGCTTGCTGTAGGGGCCTGAGTCTTGTTCTGTGAATACATTCTATTCTGATGCACACATTGGACTTTAGGGACAAGTCCACCAGAGCAGGGCTCCAGAGACTCTCCTACCTGCCAGGTCCTCAGGGAGCCAATGACTTCTGGGTGAACAGAGATTCAGGCTCAGGGTGGCTTTGAGAGAGAATTTGGTGAATCTGTGCCCCAGTGGTCATCTTGCAGGCCCCAGAGCCCAGTCTTTCTGAAAGTTTAGGGCTGGAGAGGCAGCACAACTCCACTCATGTGATGGACAACTTCCATCATCATTGTGTAACTTGCCTCTTTTTCCATCTGGTGCATTCCAGATGCCTGGGACCCTGACAGACTCTGGCAAGGGGGCTGCTTCAGGAAATCACATGCAGCTGACTGCCAACACTGTTGCAGGGGTGGTAATTCATGGCTGTGCTCTCCCAGCTGACAGCCCAGGAAGCTTCCCCTCAGTGATCCTGTTGCCCAGCCCTGCCTGCCAGTGCCTATGGGGACAGTTGCCCAGAGGGCTGTAGGGGACTTGGGGAGCAGATGGCACTTGTGTGCCTTTGAAGCATAAGGTGGATGTCACCAGGTACACGTAGAGGGACAGTGGGGCAAGATGGAGGAAGCAAGGAGGCATCCTCAGATAAAGGACAGCACTTGTCAAGTATATTGTGTCCACTGGGCTAAGCTACAATGACTTCCCCTAGAATTCCTGCCCTTTACAGTCCCAGGCTAAGGTTGACCACAGGAGAAATTTGTGTGACATTTGGAAGGGAGAAATTAAGCAGGAGTCTTTCTTTTCTTAAAGTTCAGAAGGTCAGAGGAGTACAGTGTTGTTGATCTGTTGTCTTGACTCACCTGCTGCTGCCATTAAATCACTTGTTTCTCCAGGTTCTGGGTCTGCTCAAGTGCAGCTCTGTGGGGATGGATTCCCACCTCCTACAGGTCACCACATCATCCAGGTTTGAAGTGGTAGAACACATATGTAGCTCCCAGTTTGTCCTTACCACACTGCTCCACTTCTTGGCCGTCTCTGTGTTCCTTGTGCCAGCCATGCCAACTGCAGGTCCAGAAGCAGCAGTTCCCCCTGACTGACTGCGAGGGTTTTATCCCTGTGGTGCATTGTCTGTACCATTTAGGGAGTGGGTTCTGCTTTCAAAAGAACCTTAACTGGCAGGCACACCATAGTCTGGGCCTATCTGCCTCCCCACAGAGTAGTCCTCAGGTCAGATGGGCTAGGCCTTTCCAGCCTATCCCTAGTCTGGAGTGGCCTCCCAAGTTGGGGCCCCTTTCCAGTTCTGAGCCTCCAGTGACTGGCTTAGCCTGAGAGTAGGTGGAGCTCAGATACTCTGTGCTCCTGCTTGCATCTTAACTGCCTGCAAAAGAGACTGACTTGGGCTCTTTTCCTCTCAAGTTATACAGAAAAATGATGGGCTGACCCGGCTTTAAACACAACTTCAAAGAAAAACAGCATTGGAAATATCTAGAACCCCAAACCACAAATTAGAAAGCTCTCCAGCCAAATACTGCTCTGTCTGCACTGGGGTAAGGGGCTATCCAGGCCAGCAATGCCTCTTCAGCTGAAGCAGGAATCAGATTGCCCTAGAGTCAAGGGTTACAGTCTGGAAAGTCAGAGACAAATATAAAACAAATATCTGGTTTTATTAATGAAACCTAAGGATGCAGGCAATAGGAATGATGGAATCTCACTGTGGAGACTCAGTCAGATAAATGGAAGTGGGAGACAAAGTGGA